TATATATATATATATGTATATATATATATATATATATATATGATGAACAAAGGAAAATGTTACATCCCTACATAGGCGCTGAGTGTGAAGAAGTTGGGGAGTGCCTTTTCGAGGTTCACATTACCTCAGAAGATCGTAGCGTATGCAAGCAACTCGCCCCTACAACTTTCTGCGCCCACCCAACCTTTACACCCTCCAGCAATTCTAGTTCAGCCCAGCTTCGTATGCACCCAGTATTTGGCCGTTCTGGTTTTGAATACTAAGATCATTTTACTTTGCACAATGGGTCAAACTTGAACTAGTTTCGTGTGTGAATAGAGTGTACGAACATTGGCCATAACCTTATTCGAGTATTCCTGTGGCCTCTCCCGGTAAATGCAGCCAGCAAATCAGTAGAAACTTTTTTGTAGTCTATCGTTCAGTCAGCAGATAGATTTTTCGCGGATAGAGTGAGGCCCCGCCAGCCTGGGTGTTCCTATTGCTGATGATTTCTCACGCCAACTTCATTGGCGTAACCCACTCATTCTTCCGAGATGACCTGAGCTTGGTTTGATCTATTATTCAAATTGGTGCGCCATTATGTACGCTACCACGTTCAATTGGGTGCTGGGTTATGGTCAGTTTGAAGTTCACTTCCTCGTTGTAACTCGTCATTAATCTCCTCCGCCGGATGATATGCATAGGAGGCATTCGCATTTAGCCGTCATCGCACTTAGCTGTCATTCGGCAGCCTAACATCAATGTTCAGCACTGATGCTGGACTACCACACACTGTAGGTCTCGTGGTTGTACAGGGTTCGGATACTGACAGAGTGTCCAGACCTGGACAGGAGGACGATTAGTATCCTAGATTAAGGCATTTGGTCCGAAAACCTGACCTCAAGGCAGTGATGTTTGGCAAAAATGTCAGTGCATTACCGTTTTTAGAGAACAAGCCGCTATTCATGTTCCAACCTCCAACCTGGAGAGCCAGATGACCGTGTTGGCCAGACCTTTAACCATTGACCAACCTGGCATGACAGTGTCCGTGCGAGTATCGGACGGACAACCCCAGTATAGCTCAATTGGTCAGGGAGGCACACAAACCGTCAAACCATGTATAGGTCCAGTTTCTTCTTAACGGATTTAGCTAACGGTTCTTCCTATCCTATTGGTATTGTTATGTTAAGCAGAATCTAGGAAATGAATGTTAGAAACCTCAAAACCATCCGGTCGAGCCAAATCTAAGGCGCATTATTCTCTAAGATGGATCTCCTTGTATGAATGAAACTAACTGTGCACTAATAAATTAAGATTCACCCTTTTTCCTTTGTGAAACTCAATAAATCGATGCAGGATTTACCTCTGGAGCACCTTCCAAAAATTTTGAGACTCGAACTAAAATATGTTCGCACTGATGACTGGATCCCTCGAAACGGGTCAGAATGGTCCTTCTTGCTTTTTATCTTTCATATGCCTACTTTTGACTCTTCGCCACAAATGTCCTTTGCTGGAAACGATCCGTTCAGAAAGGCTTCTTGGATTCCCATTAAGTCTGAACAGTTGTAGGACCGTACAGCTCATCTGATAAAGGGGATTGGCAACACTTATATATTTTGTATACCAACATCATGTAGAACTCTCAAACACTTGGTAAGCAGTTGTGTGGTGTCGCGAACACGTTTATGGTCAGGGTAGTAGAGTAAGGGATACTAGTTGTTGTCTTTTGTCTCCTACTCAGTTAATGGTAGGCTAATATATTAGTCATTCTCTCTATCAGTGACAAATATGTACAGCTATCCGCAGTAGCATGGGTGAAGAGGTCTTTAGCTGTCTGTGGCTCTGAGTTCAAGAATGTTTTCGTGTCAGGCCAACCTTGCTTTCACATTTAAATGTCAGTCAGGCGAACACAAGATTCCTATCCCATTTTCGTGTACTTGACACCAGGACGGCCATATCCGACACTGGTTAACAGGTCCAGGGTTTGATACAGTCCGCCTCAGCTTCAACGGGACTCGCCGTCATTGCACCAGAATGCCTGGTTGTACTGATTACCCCGGATTGTGTGTCTATTCCGTGGCGTCAGCGATCAAGAGCGGTGGTCTGAATACACTCTGCTTGGACTCGTCTTCTTCAACATGGAAGCATGGATCCATAGACACTCAGTCATCTGTGAGTTAAATATTACTGTGTGCCTTCTCTACCCTGAACCTCCCCCTATGCTTTATCCCTGGTTCCGTTTGTCCGTCTGCCAAACAGACCATCAGATAAATGTCAGGTAAACAAACGAAGGACGAAGTCATCCGTTTTTGACAAATTCCAGGACTTTGTTCTCATACTTCCCTCAGTTTACACCATAGCTTCTCCGTACTTTACTGCTATCCCTGATTGTGTGGCATGAACATTTATGGCGAAATTCACTGCAGAGAGTTAAATCCTTCAGGCTCATTTGAGTATCTACAGGAGAGTGAAGTAAAAATCGAACTTGTACGTGCTTACATGCCTCGCGCGTAAACCCTTCAGTCTGCATACCGTTACATAAACGTCGGTGTGATCCACAGAAATCAAACGACCAGCTAAATTCGGGTCGCCACTGGAAGCCGAACGCTAACCACGAGCAGACTTGTGAGGTTGATCCATTTGATGAAAAAGTTTATTATTCATTCCCATCATAACAGGATCAGTGCCACCGAAGTAAGAAACCTATGTGAACCGTGTGCTATAAAAATTTCTAGAGTACCCCACTCGTATGGCATTAGACCAATGAGTTTCCTGAACCAAATTCTAGTGATTCATAGGGTTTTCGTCAGTTTTTGTTACTTCCAAACAGCGGGCATACAAGGATTAACAAAATTTTGATCATGTTAACCTTGTTTGGGGTTCTGCTCTGACGAGTACCGCTCAGCAGCAAAGCCAGCAGCAAGTGCTCATGCAATTTTAGAATCTAAAATCATTATGGTGCGGTACTATTTCCGGAAAACATAAGTATAATACGCACACAGGTGCTCACATTCTGAACGGTATCGAGCGCCACTGGTCCATTCAGTGTTGAAGTAACATCATAGTTGCACTGAGTCGGTCCAGGTAACTAAATTCACATAGCACCTATTCAATCCGCTTATAATGAGTGACAAATAACCGCTGAATCATTTTAAGGTATTTTACTGGATTCATGTACTGATGTTTCTCGGTCACCCACTCACAAAATGTTCGTTAATAACTTTGTGGGTTGTGTGGGATGTGCAGTTTAGAGAGATTAAGCGGGCCCGAATAGACTATAGACACCAGCCCGTCGTGAACAACAGGAACCCGGCGTGTGATATCAATCCTCCAACGCTTCAAGGCACCTGGCCCGGACAGTCTGCACCCCGCTTTCCTCAAAGAAATTGGTGAGGTCCTAGTGAACAGTCTGATAACCATACTGCAGAAGATTCCGAACGAAAACAATCAGTCGCATGGAGTGGCATCCTAGTGTTCAAAAATGGCACAAGAACGTCATGGGAAAATCATCGTAGCATCAGCCTGCACAGACTCGTGAGAATGAATCTGGCTGAGAATGCATTGACCATACCTTTATCTTGAGACAGATTCTTGAATAGCGCCATCCCTTCAGGCGTCCACGTTGATAGTTTTTCTTCATCTGAAAGCTGCGTTTGACTCCGTTGATTGTGAGAAAATTTGGTAGTGTTTGGTGATCAGAAGTGTCCCTCCCAAATTTATATCCCTTATGAGGGCACTGTATGCGAATTCCTGTGGGGGTGTACGAGTGTACGGCAAGCTTTCGCCTGAGTTCACCACCTCGAGTAGTGTAAGACAAGACTCCCCTCTCTCACCTTTCCTCTTCAACTTTGTTATTGATGTGATGCTTGAAATTTCACCGCGTACCTATGACACTTCAGGGGCCAAAAACTCTCGGGACGTACCCTCACAGACGCTGAGTATGCAGACGATATTGCTCTCCTTGGTTCAGACCTTTCCTTAATGAAAGCCATTTTAAATAACCTAAATAACTCTGCGGCACGGTTCGGCATGAGATTCGCACCTGCTGAGTGTAAAGTGCTGCTGCAAGACTGGATAGGATCAAACCCAAGCATCATGCTTACATATGAGCCAATCGATGTGGTAGATAAATTTGTTTACCCGGGCAGTTGTATAAGTTCTGGTGAACTGGCCAGAGATGAGCTCTCGAATCCGGAAGGCTGGAGCAGCTTTTGCCAACCTCCGACACCTATGGCGCTGACGTGACGTCCGTTTATCTGTCAAGGGCAGAGTTTACACTGCGGCAGGGCCAATCATACCGGCTTATGGACCAGAGACGTGGTCTCTACACGCACGCGCCATACGGAAAACATCAGTGTTTGATCATCGGTGTCTCCGGTCTGGTGGAGGACCGGGTTATGAATGTTGAGGTACGCCGGAGGGTCTTAGGAAGAAAGAACTCTTCCGCGATGGATGAATTACTCACGCTTTCTAGGCTACGCACTCCGCGTGTCAGAGATCCGTCTGCCTTGCAGAGCTCTTTTCGCCCAGCCTTCTGCTGAGTGCAGCCGACCGGGAAGTGAGCTGTGTATGACCTGGCAAAGAATTATGAAAACACTAACCAGTAAACTGAGTTAGGCTGATAACTGCCGCCTCCATTGTTGGGGACCCCCGGGACTCAACTCACCAGTGGTTGATGACACTTGGCGTAAATGGCCCAGTCGCACAGTCAGTGGCGCTCGTGCATCAGAGCTATCGCCTTCAATGCGTAGCTACCTAGTTTCCGAACTAACCTACCATGCCATCGCCTCCAAGGCTTGGCTGGATATCCCACACTCTCCAACTTTCTGGTAATCGAAACTTTAGCAGTTGGGACCATTGTGTCTGTGGTATACAGTAAATGGCTGGTAGAATGATTGATTGATTAAACTTTAAAGTCAGAAGGATATATTGACGGAGCGCTCGACGCCACTTTTCTTTTTTTGTCAACCAATCGAACCAAGATGATAGAATACTTTCCTGAGACCCGATTCAAGCGTATGTTGTTGAGACTAACAGTAAATTTGTCAGTTTTTCGCAGTGGACAGTGGTGTTCCTTGGTAACTTGTAATAGGTCACATAAGAGGGAACAGCTCTTAATTTACCAAATTTCACTGCGGAAAATATTTGAGTTTGAGTGATCGAACAATATCAGGGTAACTGACTGATCTTGGGGCATGGGCAGTGTTGCAAGATGAACGGGATATCGTCTATAAATAACTTGTCGATTGTAGCACAGAAAACTAATGTGTTTGATTCATGCACACGAGTGAATATCACAAATTACAGCGTGCGTTATTGGTTTGTTTATTGATCTTAGGCCTGTTACGAAGCCGCATGATAATGGCACCGTTAATCTCGCTTGCAGCTGGTGAAAAAACGACGGCAATTAGAGCAAGAAATTGCTCAAACATTTCTCACATAGGGAAGACAGTACGATAGGATTATTTGACGAGCCAGGGGATGCAACATAGGCGTTCAGCTATAGCACCCTTCTGGTGCCTAGCTGCCATGCCATCCGAAGGAAGCACGAGGACTGAGATACTGCCAGGTTGCCCAAGCCTAGACAGGGGAAGTCGAGTGGCGCAGGTCGTATTCGAACCACGGACCTTCCGGTCAGTAAATTTGCGCTCTAACCACCTGGGCCATCTCGATGCAACATAGACTTCGTGCATTACTTATGTGGGATTTGGACAATCTGACTATATTGGCATCCCGGGAAAATGAATGACTCGTATTTTCGGGTCATTCATTCCTCTCTACTCGGTATGAGTGCGTCTAGGTTCTGCAGTGTCGACTGTAGACTTTATGAAATTCCATACCACCCTGTCCGTAAAAGGTACGCAGCCTTCTTATCGGTACATGGCTAAACGCCAACCGGGAGCTAAAGCGTTGCACTGTTTGAGATAAGTGGAGCGCTGGTAATTTGTTGAACTATTGGTAGCTCGGGTGAGTTTATTGGTTGTTGATCAGGTGGCTGTTGATCTGTTCGCCGAGCTTGGAAGCTCGGCGAACAGATCAACAGCCACCTGATCAACAACCAATAAGTGGAGCGCACTTGACTCACATTCATTTGCGCTGGAATAACAAATCGACCAACGAATGTAGGATGCTATAAGGTAGGTGTGTACCACCTTTCTCGTATCACTATTTACTACATTTTATCCTTCAAATGATACCGCTTCGATCCCTAGGGATATCAAAATACCGCAATTTGTCATGTGGATGTAACTTTCCGGCAGTAAGGCCTCTTCGGTTGAAATATCAAATACCGAGTTCTTTTAATCCATTTCATTCGAACGGAAAGAGGACCCACTACGGAATTCAGTCACTTAGGTAACATTCTTCAGCAGCGTACAATTACGCAGGCAAAGAATGATGTGGGCTCGTACAAGCAGTACTCTTTGAAAGATATACGTTATAATAACGAAGTAAAACGCCAACCGCTAGTTATGTTCAGGATAAACCCAGCATTTGAGCCAGCGTCTTTTCGAAGCATGAATTTGGTTGCGATATCTAGGTCCACTAAATTTATCACCTGCCGTGTTAGTGATGGGGCTGACAAGTGCTTTTTTGCTGGCTCACGTTTTCCATCGAATTTCCCGGTATGACAACTGTTTGCGGATTCCTTGACGTAGAGACCGGTCAGTTCCGCCTGTACGCTGGTCGCTGCTGCTCCGGGTGGGCTCATATGTAACGTGTGAGGCAGAGTTCGCCTACGGATCGCGTCTTATGTCGTTGAACCGAATACCATCTGCAGTCGGTAACTGACATATCCATGCAGTTGGGTACGTGCGTGATATCCCTTGACTAGTCTTTCTGGCACTTCGTTAGTAAGGAGGTCTCTAAAGAGCAGTTTAAGAATAACATCACTTTCCGCGTTACAGCACGTCACGTGTACGTAGCTACAATTTTTCAGGTACCCATTAGGTACCAAGGTTTCGGTTATGAATTGTTCATCTCTTTTTGACAACCTTCAGCATATTTACGGCGTGCTTTGTGGTCTAGGACGTCTACCAAACCGCCCGTACACAATCGCCGCACTACTCGAACATTGTAGTTATTACCCATTTGGTGTTGTCCATTCGGGGTGGCTGTCCTTGTGAGCAAAATACCTGAAAACATCAGTAAATTGGTACAATCTGCTTCACTAGTCACTATTAATTCTGGGTGCGGTTAATTCGTCACTTTTGAGAAAAAGCAAATAGAAGTTGATTAGTTAGGCAGCAAGCGTAAAGAGTCCACATATTTGTCAAGGAAAACACCGGCCAAAGTCTGGTCCAACGGTTGCTCATAGTCAGCAGCGTTTACGCAGGGGAACGTGAGGCCCAGTTTGTTTATATGCCAACCAAGAGTTATTGGTAAACCGAATAATGAATAGAGAGGATTGAATTTAGATTGTGTGCTTTTGTGCTCATTGTAGTGGATTGCTTTAGCGTTCTTCCCGTGATAGGACCATGCAGGAACAAGTTTCACAGTTTTGTTAATGTGGAAACAGCTTGCACAAAACGCGTTATTTCCAATGACCATTGTGACATAGAAACGAATACTTCTAGTTGGGATATTTTAACCGATGGAAATCAAATTGAATATATGAATGCAACACTACCTTTGCCTGTTTTTCAGCCCCGCTGCTCTACTCCGTCGATGGTACTCATTGGTGCATACCGTGTTCGGATCGATGTGACTTCCTTGATACAGGCCTCCGCTGGACTTACTTTCGGTGGACCCAACAAACCGACAATTTATATCCCGCGATCAGTTAGCTGATTTCTGTTTGTCTTCCCTCTACCACAATTTGATCAGATTTAATATGACTGCATTTACTAACTCACTGGATTTCCAGCCGGTTTTCTGTCGATTAATACAGCTTCGTACGGAGCGAATGTGTCGTGTCTAAAAAGACTGGGAGAGGCTGTGACTGTTGATGGGCGAAGTCTTAGTTCTCTGCTCACCGCTCCTAATATTCACTTGCCACGTGTGTCATAGGACCACCAATGTTTGTATTCCCCAGCGCTAAGCCTTTTAGTATGTAGTCAGAGGAATTCGAAGTTCCAAATGTGGATTCCAGCCTGTAAATGAAGCGAACCTATGCTGAGCTTCTCTACATGAATCTGTGAGATTGGAATTCCGAATAAAAGTGACGAAATGGTTGCACGATGTTTATTGGCTTTTTAGCTGCGGGGTGAAATTCACGGCTAAAACTTGGAGATCTTGCCGCCAGCTCAAGCATCAACTTATCACGTAAGCCTTCTGTTTGCGAAGTCACTCGACGTGTTAGCCAACACTACCACTTGATGTACTGTGCAAGTAAAGGGCAGGCGACGCTGAAAGTGCAGGTTAACCACTGCTGCTTAGTTGCCCGTAATTTAATGAAAGCGCTAGGCCTCCAACTGAAAAGTTGTGGTCTGAATCAGCAGGAGATCAGTGAAATGCGCATCGCTGGCGATTCCGCCTGAAGATATCTACTAGAGAGTGCTTTGCTGTTCTTCACGCATACTGAAATCCACATCTGAATCTTAAACCTTATTTTAGTGTAGCGCGTACCCTCAAAGTGGTCATAAAATTGCAGCAGTTTCCATGCTCCGGTTCTACCTAGTGGAGGGCTACTTTTGAATCGGACTCTCCTGACTTTATTCTTGTCACTGTCTCGGTAAAGTTCGTATGTCCTTCCAAAACAAAACAAAAAATGAGAGGTTTGTCCCCAAGAGAGATCTGAAGTCCAGCTTTTCAAAATCCCTGGGCGAATGTCATTAATTACCAAATGTGGTTCTGTATGATGCGGGTGGCCTTATCTATCGAGCGCAAATTCTGCATATCAAAAGAATAGAAATGTGAGGGCACAGTTTAACACTTGTATTGGTAGCCTAGAAAGTTGGTTACTATACCTCCAACTTTTGATTCTCTCACCCGACAAGTCCTCGGGCGTTGTTCTTGTTAAACGTGTATTATGATGCAATATCATTTAATAGACAAAAGTTCACTGTGGAAAGCATATAGTCTGATAATATCCAGAAGCCCACTGAACGACCTACATCGCGAGGGCTTCACATAATAAGGGCGTATTACGACAGCGAACACCAAAGGTTCCAATGCACCACGGATGTACGAAATGATTAAGGGCATTCTTGCTAGACCCGCTCTGTTGAAGACAAGTGCTCTTGAGGTCCATTGTACAAAGATATGACTTGAACAGTACCGTGTACGATCGGAGCTAAATTATCTGATACATCGCTTCATTCCGATGTAACTACTCGACCATGAGGTGAAGCTAATGAAGACCTGATAGCGAATCCTCACTGCCAGGTCTCCTCTTGGTGTGCCACTCAAATTGCTTGGGTGCACGTGACCTCCTTCCCGGATTACCCACTATTGGTAAGTGTCCAGCGAAGCCAGATCTTTCCTAGAGCTTTTTATGACGATCACCGTGGCCATCAGGTAATTCTTATAGGGTGTTGCGTTTGGATCGTTCGCGGTCGACAGGGTTCTCGCACAGACGCAGTGGATTTGTGCGCAAGCGAATGCTAATCGGAATTTCGAGGGGCGGTCCCATCCAACATTAATAACGCAATTACGCGACATGTGGGCAGTTGTCCCATGGGCAGCCCGGAAAACGCAGATGGTACTTGTTCAGTGTTGACTCGAGGGGATGGATTGTATTTTCTCACGATATGGCCACCCATTCTCATGTACGTACCAGTTCAATGATTTATTGCCATAAAATAAATCACATTGTCGTCCTTGCACCCCAAGTCTAATAAACTTTGGTGCCCATAAAATCCTTCCCCGAAGTGACAGATAAAACAAGGCTTTACTCAATATCCCAACTGGTCGGTTATGTCAACAGCTGTCAAGCAACCCCTCATTGGGGGTTTACCTACATAATGCCTATTGCATGGGGCTAATCGGGACACCAGAACGAACGTGTTCTGAGATCCTGTGTAATACAAACTCATGGGGCTAATCGGGACACCAGAACGAACGCGTTCTGAGATCCTGCGTAATACAAGGTGGCCTAGCTGACGTCCTTGTAGAAACCGACAGCTACATTATCGTGTGACTTGCACAGTTTCCATGATAATCCACCTGAGCGCACCTTTGGGCAACTGGTGTTTCACACAGATGCGTCTAACGCTCGAGGACTACGCATGCGTGGGAAAGCATTCTGTGATGGGCCAGTCGTGCCGATCTGATTTATCACTTAGCCTCAGATACTCCAGCGATTGAGGGGTTACTAGCCGATTTAAATCAGAACGTGCACTCGAAGGACAGTTGCTTCACTAGGGATGCTGTCTGAGAATGGTAGCCATAATCCACATTAACAGGGACACCACAGGAGAGCACTGGTGCTCCATTGTCTTACGGTCATCACAGTTTATTTGAATACAGCGTCATAATAAATAGAAAAATGGAACACTTGAATTGACCTACGGCTGGCCTACCACAAGCATACGATGTCTGCACCTCCAGCATTCTGCCAGAATCTAGGGTGCCATTGTGGACGATACCAACGCCGGTAAGTCGCCATATGCTCTATCCAGGAGGGATGACGACACCCAAACGTAACATCTTTGATTTCCTTCTACCATGTTGAATTCTGTCCACCTCTACGTTTGCGCCACTCCACATTGGGCTAGGGGAACAGCGCTCGTCTACGAATGCTTAACACATGCCCCAGCGACAACTTGCAGTGTTAGATGCATTCTCTGAGTGAAGTACTTAGGTGAATCAACCTACGATTTAATCTCTCATCACCTAATTCGAATTCGCTGGTTCCAACCGATTCCTGCTAAACTTCTGAGGCATCGATGGTCAAAGATGTGAGGTCTCAAGCCATCCACCCGAAGGTGGCCAGTTATCGTAGCCGTACAGCACCCCAACCCACAATGTAGTCTGATTACGCGTTCTCTGAGGTCAAGTGATGTCTTTTTGATGATACAAGTGGCGCAGGTTGACAAAAGCATTCTCGATATTTGATATTCATGCATTGAATTCGTCCGTAACACCACCGTCAGAGTTATTGCAGTTCCAAAGATATGTAGTGTTCCACAAGCTCCAATGTCATCCCTTGAATTCTCAGGATTCCCAATGACTAACCTACGGCAAGGATTCGTACTTTGTTCGCACAAGGCACATGTTGAATAACTGGATGACCCTGCTCAGCTTTCTACGTGACACTTGGCTTCCGGTTTTTTTTCGAAAACAAGGACGATATTGTCCGCGTTTCCCAGGTCCACAACAACCCGCTGAGAGGGATTTGAACGGCGAGGTTTCGGAGACATTTCATAGGTCACACGATCACTACATCAATGATATAACTCCGCAAAATTGAAGAAAGCGTATACCACAGTCGGCAACACTGCTTGTGGGTAAGCTTTTGGAGAGCCCCACGTTGACCCTAACGCGCCCACAAGTTACAGTATTGTAATTACCCTGTTGCACAAGTGTTGAGAACTAACTGATCAACAGAATAGAACGCACCGATGGCGTCAACGAATACCGAGATTGCAGGGTGTCTATAGGCATGCCATTGCTGAGACACTTGACGAGGTGAGGATGTAACCCATAAGCATCTTCCTGGCCAAAATCCTGCCTACCGTTCTCGGATCGCGTCTTCATGCGATCTCGTAAAAGAGGCCAGGGGTTTCAAGGCAATTTATATGTGATGGCCACAATCACCACAAGCTGAAACAATTCACGAATATTCACAGCTTCTCGCCTCTCCAAGTTTGTGGACCTACCAATCTTCTCGATTCGAGCATATGCCATTCTTCGTCTGAAGTCTAGCATTTCGTCGAGTGATTTTGTACTCTATACCAGAATGAATGCGTGTCCGAATTTGGAGTAATTAAGTGTTGTTTGAGCTCGTGCCTAGATCTATTTGGCTGCGCCGTTCCACAAGCGGAGTGCCCAGCGTCTTGCACGGACTTTCCAGTAAGTCATCAGAAAGCCTTGTCCGAATGGGGCTTTAGTAGATAGTTTTGTTTCGTTAGGTTGCAGGAGCTTCCAGAGGACCGGGCTAGGTGCGCGCATCTTGTTTGCACCCGAAAATTGCAACGAAAACAAGGTCAAAGGACAAGCGCGTGCTCTGAGTCCACATAGTTGATCCAGAACGAGCGAATTCGGGAAATGGCCCAAGCAACCCATCGGTGATAGCGATGTGGTCTACTCACGTTTGAGCTTGGCCTACACGCACCATGTGACCATGCGGCTCTGGTTGTTCGGGAAGTGGGAAACAGCTGTCTTTTATGGTCTCTAGGCTGATGCTTTCAACACTTTAGCTATCGATGGTAGAACTGACCTACCTCTACTGTGAAAATGCACGTTGTGACATGGACAGTCGGTTGACCGAAGGTCAAGAACAGCGGGAAAGTGGTCAGTCTGCACGTGAGTAGAACGGGCGCAATGGTCCACATCTATCTGGTAAGTCAGTAACCGAATACCCAGAACTTCGCGCTGATCTGGTTGTCACTGGCCGACTTAACTATAAACTATCCCACAACGTTCTTTATCAACGGTAAAGATCACTTGTCTAGATTGCTCATAAGCAAAGTCAGAAGTCAAAAAGTGCTATGGCCTCATCAATAGTTTTGAAAAAAATCATCAACGGCCAAACCAGCTTTGATGGACCAGCGACGGGAAAGGTAGGCTTGCAAATCACTCCCTCTGAAGACCGTTACTTCGAGAGAAGGGAGCTATTACAATCACCAAAAGTAAATGTCCGATCATTATTGCTTGGTGTGAAACAGCCTTATTGATATAACTCCACCAGCCACCTTGAGGCAAAAGCCCTGTTTGTGGAATTGTTTTAATGATCGATTTACAGGGAGTTGTAACACATGTGAAAACTTCAAAAAAGTACAAAGCAAAAGAAATAATGATCATTTGACGGCAGGTGTCGGACCCGCTGTCTGTTGCTTGCTGAGCTTGATACCACGCTGCCGAACACACATAAGCAGATTCTGAGCAGTCACCGGATACATGATACTTTCGATAATCGCTGGATATGAAAGGAACGGTAAGGAAGGCAGATACGAGGTTAATGAAAAGAAACATCCATGAGTACATCAAACGGTGACACTATATGGATACAGGTGCAAACCATCGAATCCATACAACTGAAGGAAATATCCAATCTGTTGTGGCTATAACTACCTGGGATAAAGCACACAACGTAATGACTACGATATTCCCTTCTACGCGTGCCGGTTATCCGAAAGTACGATTCAATTCCCCCTTTTAGTCATTTTAGCAGTCGATTTCCTCTATTTTCTGCGATTTCTATAATAGGGCTTGACTGTTCCCCGGGGGTCGCTATATGCGGTCGATTTCTCTAGATTCAGTTTAATGTACTAGGCATGAATCAATGTACACCAATGTACCAAAGCTGGTAAAAAATGACAGAATGAGGGCAGCGGAACGGAACAGTGTTCCTCAGGAGTAGGAGGGATGGAGAGACGTCGCGAGAGTCGGTGGCTGCATTGCAGGAACGCTACTACGCAAAATAGCATCTATTTCATTGAGCAACAAATACAGCGTCCTACAACGGAAAACTGATAAGTACAATGTGTTAAATTTGGTGAAATCAGAGTTCCTAGGTGAGTAAACATGCTTTGCTGACTGACCTTGGACTGTTTCCAATCGACAGACGGTTGATGGGAAAGGATTCCGCAACCATGTCTTAGTAGTCACTAGGTCAACCAGTGTAACCTACGGAATCCCACAGACCTTCCAGTTCACAAAATCATAAGTGCCCGAGGATTATTAAGTCGGTGTTTCCAGCTGGGGACTTTTCCAAAAAGGGACGGATTTAGTGCAACCTCTAATTGTTTTAGAATCAAATATTTATAAGAAATATAACCGTATTCATATGTCCAAAGCCATATCCAGCACCCCAGCTAACAAATGACAGATAAATTCAATAGGTCACGTTCCGTGGCAGTCAACAGCCTGATTGTCAAGTGCATTCATATGTTTTGCTGCAATCGATTCGATAAGAGAATTAACATACCCACACCAGATTTGTGGTAGTTGGGTTCAGTTTTGTCTGTCCGAATTCGAAGCACTCTCCAGCCAACCCCGGGAACCAGCGAGCATTCGACAATCTTACCATCGAGGTGCTTATCCTTCGGACCGACGTGGGCGAGTTTTGCCGAAGGGACGTTCAAGCCACCGAGGTAAAGTTGACCTACATAACCAGGAATCTCACTGGCGGCGGAGGAGGAACAATCAATGAGTAAAGGATGTTAGAATTGTACTGAGGGTGACACAACAAAAGAGGCGATGACAAAAGGCAAACTTCAAGACAGATACATACATTTTAGTGAATAGATAGGTGATTTTACTGAGATACCAAATATTAATGACTTTGAACAAAGTCTAACTTGAGGAAACCCAACCCATATTGATTGCCGCGTGATGCCAACAGCTCGGTGGCCTTGCTGCATACAGCAGAGCGGGTAAGCGAAAACATGCTACTGCTGATGCCTATAATCTCACAAGTTCAGGTATTCCATCTTCTACCCCAAACCTCTCTTTCCAAGTCCCAGCACTAGGGCCAACCGATTTATTCGCCAAGCGTCGCACACAGCTGCAGCTTCTGTGCGTCCAAATTCACTAGCAACTCGAAGTATGTTTCCAAACCCTAAAATCCGGCCTATTTAGCCGTCTTTAATGTCATCACACAAAAGCAAGCAGGTCAACAAGTGGCTCTTGCTCGTACACTGCATTGATGTACTGTCAGAAACCAGGATACAGAACACAAACATTGTAATCGAACCGACTCCCCCTTGGCTGTCTGCCAAGTCCCGGCTGCGCATCTGTGGTGGCGCAGTGGCCGCTGTAGCTGGATTTGCAGGAGTGGCTATCGTATTGACCCATCCAATGGAAGCGTAACTACTTGAAAGAATACCAGTTGAGAGTCACCCCTGTACGGTTCGTTTAGAAACGTCTGTGAAGAAACTTCGAGAAGCTCATTTCCACCGCACCATGTTTATTGTGTTTGCCTCGCCCCCACAGACCGTAGCTCTGTACCTGTCAAAAAGTTTCTATTACGCTCTAGATGCTCCTTTACAACGAACTAAAAGCTTAGCAGGTGACATGAATGCTCAGGTTGGTAGACTAAGCGCTGTTGAGGTACAACTGGGTGGTCGTCGTGGGCTAGATTCTAAACACAAAGACAACGGAGGATGCCTGCTTCGGATGTATGCCGATTTCAGACTGTTCTCATGAAGGACCAGTTTCCCGAAGAGCGAAAATCGCTTGACGTGGTGCTTGACAAACCATCATTGACTCTAAACAGACCTCACTGCATCAGTTACCGATGGCTGTTCCTCATTCTGGAATACTATCGTGGATACCCGACTATGCTGCTAGTGAAGCTAGTGAACCCAGAAGTCAAACGAAACTTTCAGAACCAAATCCTCGAACGCCTGCCGGACGGTTGGATGTCGGATATTAATGACCACTGGGAACAGATACCTACAGTGCCACTTGAAGCCGGAACTTCCGTGTGCAGTACAACCCACCCAGCCTCATCCAAACCTTGGATCTCCGATAAAACAATGGCTTTACTGGAGGCCGGGCGACAGATTTCTCCTGGCCCTAACCACAACTCAACCCGACAGACATATCATCCGACGACAGGTGGAACTGAGTATCCGTGCAGGCCGCGAAACCTGGTGGACCCGATGGCCCAAGAAATGGAAGAGGCGAAAATGCTGAAAACGGCCACAGGCTGATCCACTTGATTCGTTAGACTGTTCCGTGGAAGCCTCTTGCCAGCGAAACTACCAGGGTCCAGAATGGCTCTCTAATATCCAGCAAAGGACTTTGGTTCCGCTGGGGACAACACTTCGGACAACAAATCATTTGGTCATCTGCGATCTTCAATTCGTAATGCCTATCTTCCGTAGCAAAGTGAATTGTGAACATGAAACCCCTTTCAGCCTCAAAAGGAACTGAGTGGATACTCAAGCGTCATCAAGCTGCTGGTCCTGACGACCTTCCATCTACTCTGTACACGGATGGCGCTTAATTCCTCAGTCAGTGTCTGTCTAGCCTACTTGTATCTATCTAGGAGTGAGACACCATCCCAGACAACTGGGTTGAATCGACAACAGTGCCCATTTTAAAAAAGGATACTCACAGTGAATGTAGTAAACACAGGGGTGTTAGTTTGAGCCCTGTTATAGCAGTGCTTCTGGTGTCACTGATTCGTCGGCGTCTTACGGATGCACTCGAATCCTTGACCCGTGAGCACCAAGCTGGATTTCAACCGGGCAGGGACTGCGCCGACCACATCTTCACACTGTCAGGTGTTAGAGCAACACCACATGTACAGACAATCTACAGTGATGGTGTGTTCGATTCTGTCTACCGATCAGTGCCGTTAACCACGCTTGCTCAACAGGGCATGTCCCAGAATTTTGTTAACATAATCCAGTCATCATATTCATATGCTTCTGGGAGTATGAGAACGTATCACGAACTCTTCAACAGCTTCCCTACGAGAAGGGGGGACGTCAAGGATGCCCACCCTCTCTGTTCCTGTTTAGGCGCTACCTTAATTATTTCTCAGTTACTCCCTTTTGACAAAAATATTCCTCTGAATTTTCGAAATTATACTCAGACTATAGTGGTCAAAAAATTTACGTCAGCACTAAATTTCGCATCTTCAAACCTGTCTCTGAGGGAATTTCACGGTATTTCTTCAGAGATAAGATGCTAAACATATAATTTAACAGAGCACAAAATTTTGCACTAAAAAGTATACCTATGTAAGGTTGAAACGCAAAATGATAATCACTTTTATATCCCGGTAAAATTGACTCGGAATGTTGTACAGACACATACGACCATCGAAACTGCTTGGATTTCGTATCATATACGCTTCTACCAACCGCGGAGGATAGCATGAACTTTCATGCAAACCAAGATCACAGAGTGCGAAATCCGAAAAACGGGTCAAAATGACTGGATTGCGGTTGAAATTTGCATAGGACAATACTGATGGGGATTTTGAGGCAAAATGGTTTCAACCATAATCACTCTCGACCAGAAGATATAACCAATTGATTCTATGATTAGTAATAACAATAACCTTGGAAACGCTAGGATTGCTTTATGCTGATATCTGTCATTGGCTGATTCGAAATCATTCAATTCCCTCTACCGGGAATGAATTTGAGTCGCATTGCATCAGGGTACCAGCTTTAAATGTTTCCGATCAGATATCCGGCGACAGTTGCGCGTCAGGTTCCCCTCCATAAAACACTCAGTTATTTCGAGCTCGTTTCTTTTCCCCATTCAAAGTAGAATCTTTATGTTCCACATTTGCAATCCCAACTCAGTAAATACTGATAGACTCTGTTTCACGCACACTGTGCTCAGAAAAAATGAATTCGTACCCAAGTTTGCTCTCATGCACGATTTTGCACCGAAAATCGATGGTATTCAGGTGAGGCGGTTTCCACTTCAACGTCTGTGGACAGGTCCCCAGGATGTAGAATTCGTCAGGACCACAGGGTTGGAAAATCAACCCGTCTGTTATATGGTCAAGGTGCTGAGCGAATTCGGGCTTTAGGAGCTGTGTGAATGGAAAAAAAACAGACGCCCCGGTTGTAAAACAGAGATTTCAAATGGATTCAATGCACTTCAAACAAATAAAAATATATTATTTTACCCAATTATCCAGAGGCTGGGGGCGAGATAGCCCGAGTGGTTAGGGCGCCAATTTACTGACCGGAAGGTCCGTGGTTCGAATCCGACCTCCGCCACTCGACTGTCCCTGTCTAGGCTTGGGCAACCTGGCATTATCCCAACCTCGTTCAACCTTCGGGTGGCATGGCAGGCACCGGAAGGGTGCTACAGCTGAACGCTCTCTTTTTTCTCTTTCTATCTAGAGGCTGAGAAGGTCAGGTTCAAAGTCCCCGATACTGCATCATTTTTTAGCTTAATTGATAGCTCCTAATGTCACTTTGGACATCCAGGCACTCGCTGTAATGAGTCCTCGACTGCACATAATGGCAGTTCTTACGAGTCATACAGAGAAAGTTATCGAGCATAAAGACTAGTTTTTCCTACCTACGTATGCATGTGCACACTGTGGGTTTTAGGTGAATGTACATCAACTGGTGCCTACACAATACAAACACTTGTGCACACACTGAAGGCTCGTATTGTCGGATGACTATTGGCGATAGAACCGTCAGAAAAAAGCGCAAAGGCGCAAAGGATGTGAATAATGTGAGTGGTAAAAAATCGTCCGTTGTCCTTTACATATATCTTCGTTCTGCTCATCGTTACAATCGACAACAAAACTTGGTAAATACTGACGCTCAGCTACTACACAATCATGAGAAAGAATGATCCAGTAAAGAACGGAAAGGAGGAGTGATGACTTGATACGAACAGCTTAATGTCCCTACAGAAAACGATCAAGGACAGCGCACAAAAAAGGAAGGAGAAAAAGATACCTGGGCATCATACAGATTACGCCATCAGTGAGAGTGCTCCAACATGAGTCCAGAATACAGCGACACAGACATTAGCTGGGAAGTCTAGATGTGACCCATTACGTCCTGTACAGTTTCCAAATACGTAGGACAGTCACGTGGATCCCAAACACGGAGCAACAAAGATATCCCAGCACTCAGTCACCTGCGTTCCACGTTGCCAAGGCATAGCCTTTCCCCCTGAAAGTTCGTCGCTAACGGTAGTTGGGATTAGAAAACAGTGATCTCTTCGGTAGACGGTGAGTGGGTATGCAAAGTACATAACCAAGACACCTTAACCTGATAAGGCTTATTTATTAACGTAGTGATTCTGATTCCTAGCCAAGTATTCGCTCGAACACCGATTCACTGTGAACACGCTGCAGCCAGCTAACGCCTGTTGAACTGCGAAGGAATTGGGGATCAAGCGTTTGAATCCATATACTATCATCGAACCTGAAGGGCCAAGTTTCACACCCACCACTTCTTGTACGCATGCCCCTGAAGCTTCGATGAAATTAGTCTCAGGAAGTGAACTTTGCCAATGCAGCTAGCGCCGCGCTAATGTGTACATTCGCATCCGTCACCGTCTATTTACCTGCCCAGATAAATAAAACCCAAAACAAACATAGCTTCTTCTCTAAGGGAATTCAGAGAAATACATGGAGACAGAAAACCTGAAACAACAATTTGCACGCTGAAGGAGCAGCACGCATATCGAAACAAGGGGGAACTTCTGAAATTCCGTTCAAAGTGGACTGCGCGAAATGAATATGCTCAAACAAAAAGACAACGTCATCTGCACAGCTCCAGTCCATCAGTCTTTCTCTAGATGTAATTTCGATACCAATATACTCGATCCCCTGAAGTGGACATTCCACGATGACATCGACAGCAAAACTGAACACAAATGTAGAGTGAAGGCAGCTTTGCTGGACTTCATTAGTTGAAGGAAAATTTTCTAGCAGTTCACGACCAACTATTGGACGACCGGAAGGTCGCGAGTATGCGAACAAACTTTAGAGTCAACAATACATAGAACTGGGGCGAGATGGCCCAAGTGGTTAGAGGGCAATTTTACTGACCGGAAGGTCCGTGGTTCGAATCCGACCTCCGCCACTCGACTGCCCCTGTCTAGGCTTGGGCAACCTGGCAGTATCCCAGCCCTCGTGCTTCCTTCGGATGGCATGGCAGCTAGGCACCAGAAGGGTGCTACAGCTGAACGCTTTTTCACATAGAGCTGACTCACCTACAGTGAATACCTCTATAGTTAGAATACGGGCTCCGTGTACCTTTTCTGAATACATGTATGACGACTGATTGGTTCTAGGTGTCTGGAACGCGTTCTTTTTACTAAATTGGCTCAAACAACCTAAACAGAGACGAATACAGGAATCCACCGTCTTCAAATATGGCTGGTGAAAGGCCACTTGGCCCAGCAAACCCAAATACGTTTCAAGGTAGAGGCATATTGGAACTTAACAAACTGAGGAAGGATATAAACTCACAGAACATGGCATGAGTTAAACGAGTCGCATGCAGGCAAAAACACCCACGTCAAACTGAACTGTCCAGTGATCTAGCCACTGGCGTTTATTGTACATTATATTTTCAATCTTATCTCTAATTGACTCGCTAAGAGACAGTACCGTTTTGCGGATTAACTGGAGAAGCTTCTGTGCATGCACTCGCTTGCTCCATTTCTTCCGCTTCCTGGTTACACCAAGCTTCCCTATCCACAAACAGGGTTTGTCTGATTGGAGTCTAACATACGGTTTGGTCGAAATATGCTGGTTACAGAAAGGATACGACTCCTCATATCAAGTGACAATGACCTCTCCAAGATCCAGTGGTTGGTGTGTGCGTGAGCCAAAACACAATACGCGGAATTTCTAGTGTCGTGTATTACGGCCATAGTTCATTCCTGGTTACTAGTAATGTCTCCTGAAAGGGTAGCTTTCAAAAGTACCACAAAGTACGTTCTGGTGTTTCCTTAACTCGCGGTTAAGATATCTTACCCTTCGTCAAATGGGATTTTGTTTCTTGTAGTTACTCTGGAAGATCAGTGGAACCATAGTCAGACAAAAGTATTACCTGAATCAAAATATGTAGGGGGCTACTGCAACGCACCAGTACCATACCTAGATAGTTTCTCCAGAGAAGCTAATAATATCGGGAAATAGGCTGTGTCCAACGTCCATCGCAGACGTAATTTTACACAACTTACTGCAGAAGGGCTTAGTTAGGGACAATAAACCATCGATTTGTTGCCACAAATGATATTTAATCCTCCCGTCTGCAACCAAGCAAGTGAGGACTTTTAACAAACGCCACGCTCATATTCAGCTTCTAGCGGGGTGGAGTTCACATGGGATATTCCAGGATGGTATGCTAAAATCGAACGCCGTTGGGACAAAACTCCTGTTAGGACAAACAAGTTTACAAGACCACAGAGCGTGATTCACAGGCTCATGAAGATATCGTTATACAAATTGTTTGACGCCCAGACTGAAGTATTTTCCGTCAAAATAGGCATAACTCGACTTCAGCGCGTTAGTAAAATGGCATCAATGTGGCGAAACACGGTCTTCTTTGGCAGTGTACGAATTTGAGCGTGCCTGGGTTTGGACTCCGGACATTTAGCATGTGAGTTCAGCGTGTTACTATCGATTCACGAGCGTAGTTGGATGCACTAGTGTCGAGGTTTAACGACAGTGAATATTGAGCATACCCTGTGATGTAGATTAAATAGAATGGCCGCGTTAGGATACGAGAATTGTTCTAACCAGAATAATGTGGAAACAGAGTTTACAAATCCCGTAACTACGCAATTCAATGCAAGAGGATTCTCTTGGCATACAAAGAAACAGAAGTGTTTGTCTCCGCAATGGCCGCATTTGCGGGCACGACGGTTCGCATTTGGTGAGAACTCCCTTAAGAGAAATATTCTACGGAGGGGGGACAATCTTCTCTGGTCCCTTTCGAGAGAATAACCTACATGAGAGGACGCTCGACCAGTCAGCATGTGCACATAATACTTCCTTTGAAGTGTTTTGGTCACTCAAGTTCGTTCAGCTGTAGCACCCTTTCGGTGCCTAGCTGCCATGCCAGCCGAAGGTTGCTCGAGGGCTGAGATACTGCCAGGTTGCTCAAGCCTAAACAGGGGAGTGGCAGAGGTCGTGTTCAAACCACGGACCTTCCGGTCAGTAAATTCGCGCTCTAAACACTTGGGCCATCTCTCCCCCGGTCACTCAAGTTGTGCAAGCATGGTTAATATGGTCAAATAGACATAACATCAGCTGCAGAGCCCACGATGAGGTTCAATCAACAGTCAGTCGGAGTACAAAGATACCGGCAGGAAGGCCCATAGTGTTAAAGTAACCCTTGATTCTCGATCGTAACTGTACAGTCTAAACGACAGATAACTTAAGTGTAGTCTTTTCTGAAAACCGATCTGCATAAGGGAATGCTACAATGCCTACTTGATTAAGGCCTGTTGGGTCAACACACCCCTACCTTTTTTACTATGATGAACTTCATTTCATTAAGTCACGGTACATCGATCTAAGTTGATGAGTATGAGAACGTAAACCGAACGAACAGAAAACATGCGGGACACCGAATACGGTAAAACAAACCTCTTCCGTTTGATTTAGCGGGCGGAACGGCTTTCGCCTGATGGAGAAAGACTGTGCACTGAAGTCAACTAGGCCCATATGTCCAGCAGTATTTCTGGGCCAGATAATTTGCTTATCAATGGCAGCGTAGCGCTCAAAGAAGGGGGTACGACCGATTGGTTGACCGTTCACAGTAACTGCATCGTAGATAAGAAAACGTGGCGTACCGTTGGCCGCATTTTCGTGCATATACGCTTCCGATTTCGATGGATCATGACACATAACCATCTCACCATCCAGCAAAGTATTGAACAAGTGTCCGTCGGGACAAGTAAGAAATGCCGAGGTGGACTGTACCTGGCCTCCAGACTGCTGCATGTTTTTGACCCAAGAAACTGTTGGAAAGTGGAGAACATCGGGTTTGTAGACGAAATTTGCTCGGTCGATAAGGTATACTTTATTTGGTCCACTAATTAAGAGGAAGTAGCGACAGCCATCAGCCTTGTAGGAAACACAATAGTCATAGTTGACGAGTGACTCCATATTGCGGACGGATATGGAGACGGGCTGACTGCCTCGAAAGCGCAAAGGGTGTTTCGATCGTTTGTTAGTTTCCTCGAGACGGTCGGAGTTCGGAGGGACAGAACTTTCCGATTCGCTGTTGGAGGACTGGCCGTCAGCGAAAACCAATTGCCCGTCGGAATAAATAAAGGCGCCAATCTTGCACAATCTGTCAGCCAACTCTCTAGCTTCGTGTGCCTCGACAGAATCCTGGTCGAGAGTAGCCACGCGGAGAACACCTTCCATGAATTTCGGTGTACCCTTTGGAGGCGGTCGAACAACACGGCTTCGGGCATTATCCACGCCATGGAGGCTGTCCAGTGTTACATCATGTCGGGCTACTTTAGCAGTGCCGCTCTGCGTCCCCTCATCGTCGACGTCCCAACCGTTAGGAATGCTCCTTTTCTGTGAACTGGATGAATCTAGTAAACCGTCTTCTGTAGGTTGGAAATTGCAATCAAATTACTTAGGACGAGTTCGATGTACCCCAAAAAATATATATTGACAATTAGTCACCTCGCGATTAGTAAAACGAGACAATCGTATAGTTACATATTTCGTCTTCCCATCCTTAGTTCTAAATGTATGTGATACACCTTCTGTCACCTCTGTGAAAATAGTAAAACCGAGCGACAGAGATCACCACAAAGAAAAGCTTTTGGCCATTTTTTCCACCGCTGAAATACTAACGAGGGTGAATTTTCACGAGGCCACAACTAAGGATGCAAGAAGACTTCCAAACAGTAATCGCTGCACGGAGTAGTGGCTAAATGGCCGAATGGGTAAAAGGAATTTCTGTTAAAGTCATATATGGGACTTTTCGTGCGACGATCGAGCACCTGTGTGCTCATGATTACTGCTCAACGATAGGCAGTGAATTCAATGAACTCAACTGGTGGTACTCAATTTTTCCACATGGGAACAGGCTAACTGAGTAGGAGGAGCAAACGATATCAGGAGTGATGGATGGACGCGCTGACGGTGCTGACTGCCTCGTATATGATGTTAAAGCTACTCAAATGGGGTAGAATGGGAACAACGGTAAAATAAAGATGGGAGACAGAAATGAGAAATATAGTGTCTTATGGTATATATTAGGAACCCAATCCTAACCTTTGGGAAAGTTGTACTCATCCTATAAAATATGAACAAAACGATAAAACGTTGAGTTGTATCCGTTATACTGTTGAGCCGAGTAACCACGAATGATAATGAAGTCAGTACAAGAATCTCAAAGGCTCGAATCACGTTTGCTAATTTGCGTCACCTGTGGCGGAAAAAGGCACCTCACTGGGTCTTAAAGGTCGTGTGTGCCAGCCTACAGTAAGGGCAGTGTTGTTGTATGGGTGCGAGACACAGCCTCTGCGGGTAGAGGATGTGAGGCGTCTTCAGGTTTTCGACCACCAATGCCTCAGAAGCGTGGCTGGTTGTGGATGGCATCAGCGTATCAGTAACGAGGCGATTAGAAAACGGGTATTTGGTTGTGCTGCAGGCACCTCAAACCGGGAAAACATCCAGCATCATCGACTACGATGGTACGCATGCCGAAACACCGTCTACCGAGACCAGTGTTGTTCTCCGTGCCTCCTTCAGGATGGCGCAAACCGCGAGGTGGATAGCACATGAATTGGCAGAAAGGCGTCAGAGAGATCACGAAGAGTTCGGGTGTTGTTGGTGTTGTCCGACTTCCAGGAAGGGGTCCCCGTGACCCCGTCTGTGCTTGGCTGGAGACGTTGCAAGAAATGGCGGCTAATCGGTGTCAGTGGCGTTCGTCCTGTCAGTTTCTAGATTGTCTAATTGGGCGGTTGGAGGTGTAGGCACCTCAGAATGCTTGACACAGGTCCCCTATCTTCCTCCCTCATCCACTCTTTTTCTCTTCTTTTCACTCTGGGCTTTAAATATAATTGGACGAAATTCATGGTTGTCCGGCAGTGAAACATCAGTACTAAATCTGTGCGTGGCTGTTCAAAGTGAGCAGGTTTCAGTGGTACGCATATGAAGGCGGTTACATGAAAGTTGGGAAACTAGCTCGTGTGGGTTACCACAATGGACGAAATTGGCCGACTCCACAGAGATGACTAAATGAAGCGAAGTTCGTAAACAATAATGTAGTGTCTAGCTAAACGTCAGGCCACTCAACGAAAGTGGGAGTGTCTGTATTAGGCAAAAGAAATCGGAGTACTTATTTCGCATCTAGCCCTACTCCGTGGTGTGTTAGTATGCACACCAAAAACTGATGTCGGAAATCTTTTCAGTTTCCAGACGTGCAATCTTAACAAGATGACCGGTAGAAAAAATTATTCCCATGAGTGCTTCGTGAACTCAACAATGACAGGGACAAACCAAGTACCGGCAAACTCACCTACACACCAATCAGGCAAAGGTGGGGCAGGTGGACAATCTTCCGGGGAGCCATATCTTTCAAACAGTTCCTGCAAATAGTCCGGTTTGTAAATCCCAGGGGGGCGAGCGTCGGCAAAAATTTGTACAGCGATCTCTACACTGAAACGGGAAAATACCATTCAGTAATGATAAACCACTGACTCACCCGTAATTCAGCTCCTCAACTAAATAAGCGACAATCAAAAAACCAGTTCGATTGAATCCGTGCGTGCAGTGGACTCCTGGGCACAAGGTAAGAGACATGTTGCGTTATACACAGACCTACCAACTTTCTGCTCTCCTGGATTGTTATCGAGAAACTGGTTGACAACTTTGATGAACAAGTCCACTTGCTCTGGCGTGGGTCTTTCTTCATTGCCCTTACATTCTATTTTGAGATACTTACAGTTACTATCGGTGATTTCACGACGGTTATAGAAACGCTTAGATTTTGTGAGGTCCACAACTAGACCCAATTTATACTGTGAGCAATCAGAGTTGCATGTTTATCAGTTCGCGACCTACCGGTTCCGCTGTCTGAAAGACGTGATCCACATGAAACAACTGCTCTGGTTGGATAAAGTTGTCAAACTTGGAGTCCAACGGTGTTTTAAACGGAATGAATATATCCAGAATCATGTCACCCATTCGAGGGCAATTGAGCCACCGGGGTGGAAGCATGGGTATACCCTTTGGGTTCATTCTTCAGCTGAAACCAATCACAAGCGTAGAAAATACTGTTGAATTTGATATGACACCTACATCAATTTCAACAGAACTAGCGTATTACTGTTAAAGCCCGAAACGTAATCGAGGAGAATAACGTTAGGTTTCACATGAATCTCAGGATCGGCACAGTGTGGAATTACTAAGTGCAGTACTATTAGAGACAACCGATGACGAAATTGAAAAAAATGGAAGGGGTGGGCATACAAGGTAGAGCGCTGAAGGTAATGGGGAATTTCACACACAATAGCTCTGAAGGAAGTGTCTCACGAGATCGGTGCAAGAATATTAAAGGATGGAAACACCTATGCCCATTTATGCTACCTTCACGTCAATGAGACATCATCGTCAGCACGGGTGTCTCCGCTTGTAATGATGATGGTCCTCGAAGCCAAAATACTGGGATTGTATGCTGTCTGCATGTCACGACTATATAACCCATACCTTTGCATAACCCATTAACTCGTGATTCTCGCTCTATTTTCAGATCATGTACTACGGTTAATAGACGATTAAAGCGTACATTACGTTTTTCTATTCTGTCTCCTTTCTAATCCCGTCTTGGAACTACTTGACTCTCGCAACACTGCACACATAGCGTTGATGTAACACCCGGCTGTAGTATGGTGTGGCCGGTACAGTCTCTACGCGATCGAAAGTTCGCTTGGTCCTCCAGGCTCAGGGATTCGCGTATCTCTGCACGATGACGAAGAATCAGTGACGCCAGAAATCTCGTCGCAATCAATAGTTGCCACCTTCACGTGGTGGTCACGCTTAAGTGCTGCAGCGACTTCATGGACTAAACTGGATGATTCGGCCGAAACAGAAAAACAAAAGTGAAGCAGTTGGACAAATAGCAAATGGCTCTCGAATTACGAATAACCGCATTATGAGACGGCCCGGTACGTCAGAAAAAAGTGTGAAGGTAGTAAGGTGTTTCCCTCAGAAAACAATGACGTCCATAATTGTCGAAGCAGTGATTCCGCCTCTTCCGAAGAAGGATGGGTTGGAACAGGAACCGCACACTTATTTCGTTGACTGTGACGTTGGCGCACTAGGCAATACAACAAAACCACATCTTCTCCAACTACATGGTAGGCCAAGCCTATAATGCACATCCAGTTTCTTTAAAAATCAATGTGCTGCGTCTCCGAAACACGCACAAAAGACCTTACTAAGGCAAAACCTCTGAAAACGGTTTAAAACATTAAAATATTCACGGATTAAAATCCGGATGTAGGCTGACACACGGCTGTTATCCCCTGGTTTAAATGGTGCGAATTTTGTGTTGAAATTGAGAGTTGAAGATGTTCTATTTGACGGGTCTAGCCTATTTGGGTCTGTCTGGGAGAAGGAGACCGACCCAGACAACTGGGGTGAATCGATAGTGGTACCCATTCTCAAAAAGGGTACTCGCAGTGAACGCAGCAACCACAGCGCTGTTAGCTTGACGCCTGCTGTGACAAGGCTTCTGGCGTCACTGATTCTCCGTCGTCTTATGGCGGCACGCGAAGTCTTGACTCGTGAGAATCAAGCGGGATTTCGACCGGGTAGAGGCTGCGCTGACCACATTTTCACACTCCGTCAGGTGTTAGAGCAACGCCACATGTACAGACGACCCGCAATCCTGGTATTCTTTGACTTCAAAGGTGCGTACGATTCCGTTGATCGATCAGTTCTGTTAACTACACTTGCTCAACAGGGTACGCCCCAGAAGTTTGTAAACATAATCCGATTCCTATATTCACATACTTCTGGGCGGGTGAGGGTGTATGGTGAGCTCTCCAAAAGCTTCCCTACAAAAAGTGGTGTCAGACAAGGATGTCCACTCTCCCCATTCTTGTTCAACTTCGCCATCGATGAAATAATGAGGCGAACACTGGACGGTTTTCAAAAC